TGACTAACAAAATTTAGTGTGCATTTTATTGGCCTTGACCTTATGATCTTTCATCTTTAGTATATTTGCTTTTTTTTTTTTATTAAAGATTTTATTTATTTGAGAGAGTTACAGACAGTGAGAGGGAGAGAGAGAAAGTTCTACCATCTCTGGTTCACTCCCCAAATGGCTGCAACGGCTGGAGCTGCACCGATCCGAAGCCAGGAGCTTCCTCCAGGTCTCCCACGTAGGTGCAGGGGCCCAAGGACTTGGGCCATCTTCCACTGCTTTCCCAGGCCATAGCAGAGAGCTGGATGGGAAGAGGAGCAGCTGGGACTAGAATCAGTGCCCATTTGGGATGCCGGCACCGCAGGTGGAGGATTAACCCACGGTGCCACGGTGCTGGCCCCTGCATTTGCTTTTGAATTCTGATAATGCCATTTATCCTGTTAATAGCTTGCTTCTGTTCCTGTTTATTAAGAGGTTTCACCAGGAATGAAAGAATTTTAGCAAATGTTCTTCAAGCATTTATTCAGATAATCATGGCTTTTCTCCTTGAATCAATGCATTTTTTAGCTTTATAAATTTTTATATTTGTGAGCTGTTCTTTAAAATCTTCTGAAGGGGTCATTATGAATAAATGTACAAAAAGAACATAAAGAATATTCTTTTTGACACTCAAAGTGTTTCATCTTTGCCCCCAGGAACTTCTTGTATGATGAAATGTTCTAGGCTCATCTAGCATATTTTCTACTCCAGACCTGCATGTCTGCCTTTCCCCTGAGGACCCTGGGTTCCTTTTATGGGAAATGTTATTTAAACCACAACCTCTCCTCCCCTCTCCCTTCAAAGAGTTCTTTAAAAATTTAATTAAATCTAGAACACTTTCAGCTTTACAGAAAATGTTTGGAAGATAGTACAGAGTAGTCTCCACGTATCTTATACCCAATTTCTTCTATATAAATAGACTTTTAATTTAATTGTGGAAACATTAGATTTGCAAAAATTTATGTATTCCCCACCTATTTCTACCAAATTACCAGAAAGAAAATCCCATGTATTACAAAATTTTATATATGAATTTTCAGTGCTCTGTAGCTTTAGAGGTAGAGATCTTAACCAAGTCATTTACTAAGTAAGCCAGTCTTATATTCCTGGATTAAACTGTATTGAGGACTTTTATGCCTATACTCACAGGAAACATGTGTTAATACTGATTTATAAATTGTATTAGATGAAGACTCCTTGTGGCCTGTCTTGGGAAATGAGGAAGAATAGGTGGTATATCAGACTGTTCATCAGACTTGCTAAAAATTTATGATGTGGATCCCCTACTGAAATTTTCAAACTGCAAATTCACTTTTTTTCAAGTTTTTTTTTTTTAAATTTATTTTTTCAATGTTTTCTAACATGTACTTGAATCTTGTTTTCTTGAGCAGTTTAGGGAACAAAATTCCACCTTTTCTTTCAAGGTTTGGTAGAATTTGCTCATGGGGCAAATTGTTTTACATGGGGATGGGGTAAAGATGTACCTCTTCTTGGATCATGGAGTAATTGTTTTTCTAGGAAATCTTTTGTGTCTATATTTTTAAGGTACTAGGATATAGTTGCGTGTGCTGTTCTCTTAGCTTAAAGATATTTGCTTCCTGTTTGTGGTCTTTGAAGTTCTCTCATTTTTAAGATGGATTTGTTTACTTTCCCATTTGTGAGTCTGACTTTACAGGCTGTATTTTGCTTTCTAATCAGTCTGTTGGTTTTTCTTTTATTTTCTTTTACCCTTTCATTCTCCCCCTCTTCTTTTTTGGTCTGTCTTGCTATGTTAGTCTTTTGTCTCTTTGAATTGATTACTGTATTTTAAATAGTTTCAATATTAGAAGCATTTAGGGAGATACCTGCTCAGCCTTTAGTTTGTTTTATAGACTTTGAATTATATTTTCTCTGTTTCTTTTAATGGTTGGCTTTCAGTTTTGATGTCGTTAACTCTGGAAATTACAGTAGTCAATGCATTTTTAATTTTTAAGATTTAAAAAATGTTTATTTATTTGAAAGGCAGAGTTAGAACTGTCTTCCATTTGCTGGTTTACTCCCCAGATGGCTGCAACAGCCAGGGCTGGGCCGAAGCCAGGAGCTGGGAGTTTAATTTGGGTCCACCATGAGGGTGTGGAGGCTCAATCAATGCTTTGCTAGGTGCGTTATCAGGGAGCTGGATCAGAAGTAGAGCAGCCGGGACTCCAGCTGGTCCCCTTGTGGGATGCTGGTGTCACAGGCAGCAGCTTAACTTGTTACACCACAGTGTCAGCCCCAATCATTGCATTTTAGGAAAGAGATCCATTTAAGGTTCTTCAAATCAAAGGGGATTTAATTATAGGCAATACATGTTTTCACCCGGAACTTGGGCTTCCTGTCATCTCTGAAACAGGTAGTAGGTAGAAATTAGTGTATCATTCTTGTAACATAGTTTCTCTATGACATTCATTTGATCAGTCTTTTAAGGTATTGGTTATGCTAATCTGGGGGTTTTTCTTTGTTCCTTTTCATAAACAAAATGTAGTTTATTAAAGTATTGCAGCTGGGACAGGAAGCATTAATAATGTTATTTGTCAGTTTCTCAAAGCAGCTTCCCAGCTTCTGCCCCTGTATTATATCCTAGCAGATGGGGATCTATAGAGTTTATATTGACCCTTACCGCTAATTGGAGCATCGTCAGATTTTGAACGGATTTTGCAGTTTTCACATCAGGGTTAAGAGTTGAAGAGCAGTCTCAGGAAAATATTTTTATGCATTGATGATTACATGTAGTTATCACATTTTACCTGTTTGATGAATGTTTTGTAAATGTTGCACCTTCAGCTTATTTGATCTTACATGTAATATTTAAATTACATAATGTTCCAGCTTTAAAAACTTTTATACTTGTGTGTTTACTTAAACTTGATAAAAGAAACAGGTTGACTTAAAGTCTTAGTCTCAATTTATGTTCACTCTTCTTTAGGATTTGGATTGTTTATATATTATGTTAAAATTGAATTGTGGCCACATATTTCTGTGTGGAGAAATCCCTCTGTGTAGAGCACATTGTAATCACAGCAGACATATTGGAAGGCAGTCTTGGGGAGGCAGTAAGGTAGGGGAGAAACACTGCATTAAAAAAAAATTAGGCTAAAGATATAGAGATGTCAGAGGTTGGTGAAGAAGCAGCTGAAATCCATTTTGGTAGTATTTATAGCAGGCTGACCCTGAGGGCTCTGATACCTTCCTCACCATACCGGCTCACTGGCAAAAGGACTCAAAACTGATTTTCAGACTAAATTAAAAAAAAAAAAAAAAAAGTAGGTACTGGTTTAAGAAGAAATGAGATCCAGTAAGATTTGTCAGAAGCATGTGTTAATACAATTTTATTTCTTGAGCTTCCTAGAGAGTTTTTCTTTTAAATTTATTTTATTTATTTGATTCACTCCCCAAATGGCCATAATGGCCAGAGATGAGCTAATCAGGAGCCAGGAGCTGCTTCTGGGTCTCCCACGTGGGTTCAAGGGCCCAAGGACTTGGGCCATCTTCCACTGCTTTCCCAGGCCATAGCAGAGAGCTGGATTGGAAGTGGTGCAGCCAGGACTTGAACTGGCACCCATATGGGATGCTGGCGCTGAAGGCTGGGGCTTTTAACCACCTGCTGTGCCACAGTGCCGGCCCCCCTAGAGATTCTTGACAGTAAATGCTAAATAAAAACAGTGTGTGGTGTGTGTTTGTGTGTGTTTGGTTTTGTTACTGTTTGTAAGCAGAAATTGATGACTAGAAGGTTACAGTGGCTTTCTCAGGGTCTTAAGTCTCGGTACCAGGGTGAAACTACTGATTGCTGGCCTGAAGTTTTCCGCAGGGCCCCTTTGACTCCCAAAACCATTATCTTTGACTCTCTGGGAGTTACTTATCTTTGCAGTATTTTGCAATAGGTTGTCCCACCTATTGTTCATCATCCTGTGATTCCACATTCATAGTTCTAAGACCTTATCCCTTTCTTCCTTTTTATTGGTATATAGTAGTTCATTCTTATTGGAGGGAGATAGGTTCCAAAATCCCCAAATGCCTAATGAAATGAAGTACTGAACACTGTATGAGGGACCTTTAAAAAGTTCATGGGAAATTTGTATTTTAATTGCAGTTTTCCACAAACTTTTTGAAACTCCTTTGTTTTACTGTATTTTTTCCTATGTATATATATATCTCTGAAAGGTTAATTTATAAATTAAGCAAGAGATAAATGAAAATAAAATAGGAAAGTTGTCACCATATACTAATAAAAAGTTATTCTAATGTATTTCTTAAAATACCTTATTTTACTGTCAATTTTAGCAATCTCAGATATGATATTTTTTTTTTCCCTTAGTAGGTCAAGAACATCCATCTTTTCATTTAAGGAAAATACTGTATGCCTTCTGTTTGGCATATCTGAATTTCTGGTATCTCTGGACTAGTGCTTAAGACCATTATTAAGTCAAATAAGGATTACTTGGACACAAGCACTGTGATACTGTGCTACTCAGGGACTGATGCGTGGGTAGTGTATACAGTGTGGATACACTGAACAAAGGAGTGATTTACATCTTTGGTCCAACAGAGCTGGACAGCACAAGAAGTATTCTGCCCAGAGCAGTGTGCAATTTAAAGCTTATGAATTATTTCTGATATTTCTGGACTATCACTGATGGCAAGTAGCTGAAACAAAACAAAATCAGATTAAGGAGTGGATAGTGTATTTACAACAGCTTATAGAGCTAGTTGCATTAGCACTCTTTGCCAAGCAATGATTCCACTGGGGATATGTGATATGAGACCTTCCAGAAATTCCTTCTTTTTTTTTTTTTGGTGAAGATTTATTTTATTTATTTGAAAGAGTTTCAGAGAGAGGTAGAGGGAGAGAATGTGAGAAAGAGGTCTTTCATTCGCTGGTTCACTCCCTAAATTGCCACAACGGCCAGAGTTGAGCCAATCTTTTTTAAATATTTTTTTATTTGTTTATTTGACAGGTAGAGTTACAGACAGTGAGAGAGACAGAGAGAAGGGTCTTCCTTCTGTTGGTTCACTCTCCAAATGGCTGCAATGGCTGGAGCTACACTGATTCGAAGCCAGGAGCCACTTGCTTCCTCCTGGTCTCCAATGCAGGTGCAGGGGCCCAAGGACTTGGGCCATCCTCCTCTGCCTTCCCGGGCCACAGCAGAGAGCTGGACTGGAAGAGGAGCAGCGGGGACTAGAACCCGGTGCCTGTATGGGATGCCGGCGCAGCAGGCGGAGGATTAACCTAGCGTGCCACAGCGCCGGCCCCAGCTTGAACCAGTCTTAAGCCTGGAGCCAGGAGCTTCTTCAGGGTCTCCCACATGGGTGCAGGGGCCCAAGGAGTTGGGCCATCCTCCACTGCTTTCCCAGGTGCATTAGCAGAGAGCTGGATCAGAAGTGGAGCAGCCAGGACTCAAACTGGCACCCATGTGCAGGCTGAAGCTTTAACCCACTGAGCCAGCCCCCAGCTTTATTGAGGTATAATTGATATTTATATATATTCAAGATAACAGTGTGATGTTTTGATATATGCATACATTGCAAATTGCTGACTACAATCAAACTAATTAATATATCCATCACTGCACATAGTTACCTGTTTTTGTGGTGAGAATATTTAGGATAAGGTACATTCTCCATATCCATGGGTTCTGCATGGATTAAAAATATTTGGGAAAACTGTTGTGTCTGTATTGAACATTTACAACTTTTTCCCTTGTCATTATTCTCCAGCCAGTGTTATAAACAATCCAGAGATGATTTAAAGTACACAGGAGACTGTGCCTAGTTTATATGCAAGTATTAAGCCATTTTATATAAAGCACTTTGAGCATCCATGGATTTTAGTAACTCAGAGGGTCCTGGAACCAGTACCCCAAGGATGCCAAGGGACATCTATATACATCATTAACCATAGTCACCATGCTATGGTCTCCAGAATCTATTTACCTCAGAAATTCCTTTTTGAAAGCCACACTTAGGGTGACTTTGTGCTGTAAAATTTGTCATTTCTGTAAGAAAGAGTCCCTTAAAATGAAGAATATCTGAAAATGTAAGCAGTGAAACAAAGTAATGAAGTTTGAGCTAATCTGGTCTTTTTAGAAGGAATCACAGGTATCTTGTGTCCATGTGAGTGCTGTTGTTGATATCCAACACTCCCTTGAAGTGTTAAGGGAATTTGTGTGAAATGCATCACATTTCTTTTCTAGCAGAGCACTTCCAAATTGAGATATATTAGTGTAGAGTACACACTGGACATTGAAGACTTAGTATGAAAAAAAAACTTATTGACACTTTTAAAAATTGTATTTTTAAATCACAAAAACTGATTGCCTGTTGAAATAAAAATATTTTTGGTGTATTAGGTTAAATAACTATTACTTTTTTTAAAAGATTTATTTATTTATTTGAAAGAGTTAGAGGCAGAGAGAGAGATCTTCCATTCACTGGTTCACTCCCCTAAATGGCTGCAATGACTGGAGCTGGGCTGCTCCAAATCCAGGAGCCAGAATCTTCTTCCTGATCTTCCACATGGGTGCAGGGACCCAAGCAATGGGCCATCTTCTTCTACTGCTTTCCCAGGCCATAGCAGAAAGCTGGATCGGAAGTGGAGCAACTGAGTCTCGAACTGGCGCCTACATGGGATGCCAGCACTTTACTCACTATGCCACAGCGCCAGCCCCTAAATAACTATTATTAAAGCTGCCTTAAATTTATTACTGCAAAATGGCTACAAGACAGTTGAGAATTATGTAAATGGGTTTTGTTATATTTCTCTTGGACACCACTGTAAGTATATAAAATGGCTGCTAAGATTTTAACAATGTTTTCTGACTGGTACAATATGAAACATGGAGACAGAGTACGTAAACTACAATTATGATACAGAAGGAACAGAATAGATTATTTTGGTGTTTCTGAATTTGTCCTCATTTTTAAAAACTTCCAAGTATTGTTCCCATCAATTACCTAAAAGCAATGCAGGTTTTTTTTTTTTTTTTTTAAGGAGAGCGAGCTCTTCCCACCCACTGGTTCACTCCCCAAATGGCTGCAATGGCCAGAGCTGGGCTGATCCAAAGTCAGGAGCCAGGAGCTTCTTCTGGGTTTCCCATGTGGGTGCTGGGGCCCATGCACTTGGGCCAACTTCCACTTCTTTCCCAGACCATTAACAGGGAGCTGGATCCAAAGTGTAGTAGTGCTCATGCCACAGGCAGAGGCTTAACCTAGTGCCACAACTGGCCCCCGTACAGGATTTTAAACAACTGCTTCTGAGCCATCATTGAAACTTAAGTGCAGACAGAGCAGTTCTGCGTCAGGGCCAGCTGTAGGTGCTGCCCTGATGGGAAGAGCAGGTTGGAAAGGGTGCAGCACTGCGGAGGAGGGGTAGGGGACCCCAAGCCCTAGTATCGGAGAGGTCTCCTGAGAGGGCCTAGCTTAGCTGTGGAGTTTCCCCCTGTTTCTTGCTAGATGGTGCACATGTACTGTGTAAGGTAAATCTGACACAAGTGTGGTTGGTTTACTTGTGAATTTAGACTTGACTGGAAATGATTGGATTCATGAGGCAGCAGGGGCTTTTGGTGAATAAACAGAAGTTGAAGAGAAGCTGGAGCTGCTTAGGAGCTTGGTTTTATACTGAAGAAAGCTCACTAGAGTGGTGTGCAGGGATTCTTGCCTTTTGTAAGATTTATGGCTACTCATTTCCTTGTTCTTCAGAGGTCTTTTTCTCATTTGAATATACCCAGCTGAGAATGCAGCTGTTTGAGAAGTTTTCTGAAAAAGGTGTATGCAGTATTTAGCTTTAATATTTTAGAATACCTTTGTTTTCTGTTCTGTCATGTTTGTGTTGGGTGAAAAGCTCACTGAATTTTGGCTCACAATTCTTTTCTGATTTTGTAGAATTATTTGGCAACAGAAGTTACACATACAATGTAAAAATCTAATTTTTTAGATGTTTAGCAAAAACTTGGGAAATTTTTGGTAAATTGGTGATAATTTTGCAGTGTGTATATTGGGAAGGCTTGGGTTGAAAAGGAACATTTTCATTGGTTATAGATTTCATAGTCATAAAGCAATTTTGAGTTTACATTTGAGCATAATCAGATAATGAAGTGGTCAATAGAAACATAGGATGTAGATGGTCAAAATCAAGAGTACAACAGAATACACTTGAACAACATAACCTGAATGTAATTTGTATGGGGAACAGCTTTATCAGTAGTAATAGTTCTTAGTAGTATGTGAAATTGCTAGTATTAGCGTGTGCAGGAAGAAAATCTTTGTTAGTATATATTAGGATTTTTATGCTTGTGGGTGACTGTTGGCTTATTTTTTTTCCCCTTTCCTTTTAGAATATGGTTTCTAGTTTTAGGGTTTCTGAACTACAAGTTCTACTAGGCTTTGCTGGACGGAATAAAAGTGGGCGCAAGCATGACCTCCTGATGAGGGCGCTGCATTTATTGAAGAGTGGCTGCAGCCCTGCGGTTCAGATTAAAATCCGAGAATTGTACAGACGCCGATATCCACGGACTCTTGAAGGACTTTCTGATTTATCCGCAATCAAATCCTCGGTTTTCAATTTGGATGGTGGCTCCTCGCCTGCGGAGCCTGACTTGGCTGCGGCTGGAATCCACGCGTTGCCTTCCACTTCAGTTACTTCTCACTCACCGTCCTCTCCTGTTGGTTCTGTGCTGCTGCCAGACACTAAGCCTGCGTTTGAGATGCAGCAGCCATCTCCCCCAATTCCTCCTGTCCATCCTGATGTGCAGCTAAAAAACCTGCCCTTTTATGATGTCCTTGATGTTCTCATCAAGCCCACAAGTTTAGGTAAGTGTTGGAAAAATCAGTTACTTCTGGACAAATGAGCAAATAAGAAGCCTTCAATTATGGATTATGGACTTGCTGTGAATTTTATAAAGTGGAAGTGTTAATGTCACATGTTTAAATATACACATAAAAATATTGGCAGCTATGACTGCAACTGTTAGTTTGAATTCTTTTTCTAAATTTTTTTATTGTGGTAAAATACACATAAAATCTTAACTCTATCAAGTTAAAATTCATTAGTAGTAAATACATTCATAGTGTTGTATGGCTGATTCCTGCATCCATCGCCAGAATCCTTTGGTCTTGTGAAACTGAGAGTCTGTACCCATTGAACAATAACTCCCCATTTCCTCTTCCTCTCAGCTCAGCAACTACCATTCTACTTTCTGTTGCTGTGATTTTGACTTTTAGGTGCTTCATCTATTTCACTTAGCATAATATCCTCAAACTTCTTCTGTGATGTAGTTTATGTCAATTTCCTCCCTTTTATTATTATTTTTTAAAGATTTATTTGTTTGAAAGGCAGAGTTATAAAGAGGCAGAGAGAGAGAGGGAGATCTTCCATCTGCTGGTCCACTCCCCAAATGGCTGCAGTGACCGGAGCTGTGCCAATCCGAAGCCAGGAGCCTCCTCCGGGTCTCCCACCTGGGTGCAGGGGCCCAAGCACTTGGCCCATCCTCCACTGCTTTCCCAGGTCACAGCAGAGAGCTGGATTGGAAGTGGAGCAGCCAGGACTCAAACTACCGCCCATATGAGATGTTGGTGCCAGAAGCGAAGGCTTAGCCCACTAAGCCACAGCACCAGTCCCTATTTTTGTTTTTTTTAAAGGTTTTGTTATTTCTTTGGAAGGCAAAGTTAGAGGCTGGGGGTGGGTGGGTGGGGGATCTTCCATCCACAGGTTTGCTTCCCAAATGGCCGCAATGGCCAGAGCTAGGATGATCAGGAGCCAGGAGCTTCTTCTGGGTCTCCCACGTAGGTGCTGGGGCCTAAGTATTTCGCCCATTTTCTAATGTTTTCCCAGGCACTTAGCATGAAGCTGGATTGGAAGAAGAGGAGCAGCCAGGACTCAAACTGGCACCCATATAGGATGCTGGTGCTCCCTACGACTTAACACACCACACCACAGTGCTGGTCCAAGAATTTCCTTTCTTTTAAGGCTGAATAATACAGTTCTCTGTGCTGAAGTTTCACAGGAATAAATAGGAAATCCCCTAATCTAAAAACAAAGAAAACTCTCATCTCTATTATTCTTCCCTAAATAGTTCTCATTTGTCCTCACAATCTTTCTTCATTTTTTTCTTTAAGATAACTTTCTTTCTTTCTTTCTTCCTTTCTTCCTTTCTTCTTCCCCTTTGCTTTCCTTTCCTTTCTTTTTTTCTTTCTTTTTTTCTTCCTTTCTTTCTTTCTGACAGTGAGAGAGAGAGAGAGAGAGACAGAAAGTTTTTCCTTTTTCCATTGGTTCACTCCCCAAGTGGCTGCTGCAGCCGGCTGCTGCGCTGATCCGAAGCCAGGAGCCAGGTGTTTCCTCCTGGTGTCTCCCATGTAGGTGCAGGTCCCAAGGACCTGGGCCATCCTCCACTGCCTTCCCAGGCCACAGCAGAGAGCTGGACTGGAAGAGGAGCAACCGGGACAGAATCCGGTGCAAGATAATTTCTTTTAAATGTCAACTACTTTGGAATTTTCTGTTTTAAAACTTCACCTGTGTCTCTACAAAAGAATATATATGTGTGTGTGTTAGTTTTAAAGGAATGAACACCTGTGCAACTAGGTTCCACATTTAGACAGGAACATTGGGGCCAGCGCTGTGTCATGGCAGGTAAAACTGCCATCCTGCAGTGCCAGCATCTCATATGGTGCTGGTTCGAGTCCTGACTGCTCCACTTCTGATCCAGTTCCCTGGTAATGTGCCTGGGAAAGGTGTGGAAGATGGCCTGATTCCTTGGGCCCCTGCATCCACATGGGAGACCCAGAAGAAGCTCCAGGTTCCTGGCTTTGGATCAGTCCTGCTCCAGCAGCTGGGGCCATTTGGGGGTAAACCAGCAGATGGAAGACCTCTCCTTTCTCTGCCTCTGTCTCTATAACTCTGCCTTTCGTAATAAATAAATCTTTAAAAATAAATCTTCTAAAAAAGAAACAAGGAACATTACTCTGTCTTTAAAGCCCTCTCCTTGACTCTCTTTTACCTGAGCTAAATCATTACCATGCATTTTATGTTCCTTCCTTAGCTTGCTTTACTGTATAGGTATATATGTGAAAAAGGGGTAGGTTTGGTCAGCTTGTTTTTGGAATTTATATAATGGTATTCTCTATAAATCCTTCAGTAGCTGGCTGTCTCTTCACTATGTATGCAGCATAAAGTGCTGATAGGTCTAGCTGTTTAATGTTCTGTGAAATCCTTCTGAGTTTTGTGTATGAATGTTTGATTCCTTAGAATTTCTTCATTCTTAGATTACTAAAGTAACTAATCCTTGTAATTGAAAAACTAAACATTGCAGAACTATAACAGGGAAAGTCCCTAGGAATCTCATTTTTTAACCCACCAGTCATACCAATAGTTAACCATTTCTTTGCATATTGTATTTTTTCCTCTCATTCAAAAGACTTTCGTGTAAGTAAGCTAATCCATGATAGGCAGAGTTAGAGAGAGAGACAGAGAGAAAGGTCTTCCTTCTGTTGTTTCATCCCCTAAGTGGCCGCTGCGGCTGGCACATTGCGCCGATCTGAAGCCAGGAGCCAGGAGCTTCCTCCTGGTCTCCCATGCAAGTGCAGGGACCCAAGCACTTGGGCCATCCTCCACTGCCCTCCCTGGCCACAGCAGAGAGCTGGCCTGGAAGAGGAGCAACTGGGACAGAATCCGGCGTCCCGACTGGGACTAGAACCTGGGGTGTCGGTGCTGCAGGCGGAGGATTAGCCAAGTGAGCCACAGCACTGGCCTCAAAAGACATTTTTGAAATGTAGAGTTTCTGTGCCACCTTGTAGCCTCTGAGGGTAACACCCTACCCCCCCACCTCCCGAGTTTTGTGCTGTGATAGTCTTTCCTGATGTTATTTCTTGGGCATATATTTGCAGATCATTTTAGCAGGCCTTGTCAGTTAGTAGTCATTATAAATGAATCTGAGTGTAATTTGAAATTTATAAGGTTATGCTAAAATTACTAAATGAAATTATCACTCTTTTACTCTTGCTGTGTGATACTATTTCAAAGCATAGTGGTATAAAACAGGTGTTTTATTATGCTCATGGATTCTCTGGATCAGGAATTTGGAAGGCAGAACGTGAATGGCTTCTCTATCCCAAGATGTCTGGGGTCTTAGCTGAGAAGACTTAAATGCTGGGGATGGCATGATAGGTCGGAGCTCTGATCACTGGGAGACATCTTTACTGACAGATCTGATGGCTGTGCTACCTACTGAATGGCTTGAGCTCAGTTTTTCTATTGGCTGGAATTCATTCCTACACGTGGTCTAGTTTGGTTTTCTTTCTAGCATGAGAAATAAGTGTTCTGACAGTAAGGAAGCAACACATGACACTTTTATGATCCGTCCTTGCATGTTGTGTAGCAGCCCCTTACACCATACGTTGTTGGTTAAGCAGTCACAAAGTGCCATTTGGACTGAAAGGGAGGGTGATGTGGACCCCACTACACAACTGGAAGGATGACATGATGGGCAAGGTACTGTTGTAGCTGTGTTGGAAATTCAGAATCTGCATTATGCAGCATTGTTGAAAAAGGAAAGGGTTTGAATAAACACATATGTATTGTCATTGATTTGTGTTAAATTTTCCCTTTCAGACACTCTTAACATGAAAGCATTCATGATATTATGCAGAATCGATTTTTTGATCCCAAAGTGTAGACATTAATGAGGACAAAATACTTGGCAAAACTTGCATGCTTTTACTTAACGTCCTGCTGTTCTTTTTCATGATCCATACCAAAATGACAGTTTAGCCAATGGACTTACCTTTTGGTGAATTTACTGTGCATGTGGCTGCTGTTCTAAAACTGACAACCTAGAAACCATCAGTAAAAACCAAAACAAATTGGGTTTTTTAGCATTTGCACAGTCTTCCGCTGCAAGTTTTCTGAAGGCCAGTTTGGTAAGGCATGATGAAACAGGTCTGCTGTCCCACAGGAACAGGGTGGTTATTTGAGATTTTGGTCTGGGTTGAAAATTTGGCAGCAAATAAATGATAGGTAAAGCCAAAAATATTCTAGAAAGATCTATTATGATATAAACTGCTGATAGTAAACTATAATTTCTTTGTTATACATGTATGCTTCATATGCTGATGATGGAGGCACTCCAGCTTCAAATGTAAAATCTATGTTTTATGGTAACATTTCTGGCTAGGTTGACTACAGTTATCTAAGGCAGAGCCTCTAAAACTGCTTTTTATTGTGGTCAGTTCACTGAGGGTGTTTTGCCCAACTTTGCAGTTTAGATTCTTGCTGTTTTTTGACACACTTAACAGTGATCCTGTCTTTAAGGAGATTTATGTTAATCAGGCTTAGAAGAATGAGGCAAGAAACACAGTTAGTGGGCAGGTAATTTCATTTATCTACCCCCTCCTTTTTTGCTGTTGTCATACTTTCACATCTACCTATGTTATAAATTCTGTCTTTGATTACCATTACTTTTTCTTTAAAGTTATCTTTTTAAGGAAATCACAAGAAGAAAACAATTTTTTTTGAAATTTTTTCTTATTATTTGACAGAGTTAGACAGTGAGAGAGAGAAAGATCTTCCTTCCGTTGGTTCACCCCCCAAGTGGCCACTACGGCTGGAACTACTCCGATCCGAAGCCAGGAGCCAGGTGCTACCTCCTGGTCTCCCATGCGGGTGCAGGGGCCCAAGCACTTGGGCCATCATCTTCCACTGCCTTCCCGGGCCACAGCAGAGAGCTGGATGGGAAGAGGAGCAACCGGGACTAGAACTTGGCGCCTATATAGGATGCAGGTGGAGAATTAGCCAAGTGAGCCACGGTGCCGGCCCCAAGAAGAAAAATAATTTTTTTTATGTTTGCCACTTAACTGTTTATAATGTACAGAGGGGGCACTTTGCCCTCCTGTGGGTATTGCAGTTCCAGTTAGGAAGTAGAAGATTTTATATTAGCTTGTTTTGTTTTTGTTTTAATGGACACTAGAACATCATTGACTAATTCATCAGCATTAATATCCTATAGTTATTTGTGACATAAGTGCAGTTTAGTTTAATGACTTTGCTGAGTAGTCTTTTGTCTTTTTTTTTTTAAGATTTATGTGTTTATTTATTTGAAAGGCAGAGTTACAGAGAGGCAGAGGCAGAGAGAAAGATCTTCCATCTGCTGGTTCACTCTCCAGATGATCACAATGGCTGGAGCTGGGCTGATCCGAAGCCAGGAGCCAGGAGCTTCTTTCGGGGAATCCATATAAGTGCAGGGGCCCAAGCACCTGGGCTCTCTTCTGCTTTCCTAGGCCATAGCAGAGACCTGGCTCAGAAGTGGAGCAGCTCGGACTCAAACTGGGTCTTATATGGGATGCTGACATTGCAGGCAGCGGCTTTACCTGCTGTGCCACAGCGCCGGCCCCTGAGTAGTCTTTTTTAATTAGGTAACCTTGTATATGAAAATAATTGCTCTCTACTAAACTGTTTCATTTGAAAGGCAGAGCAACAGAGGTATAGGTAGAGGTAGAAGTCTTCCATCTGTTAGTTCACGCCTGAAATTCCTGCAGTAGCCAGGGCTGAGCCAGTCTGAAACCAGGAGCCAGGAACTCTATCCTGGTTTCCCACATGGGTTGTAGGAACCATGTAAGTACCTGAGCCGCCATCTGCTGTCTCCCAGGGTGTGCATTAGTAGGAAGCTGCATCAGAAATGGAAGCAGGACTTGATCCTAGGTTCTCTGATATGGGATATAGGTATCCAAGCAGCTGCTTAACCTGCTGTGCCACAATGCCTGACTCAAGTATGTATCTTTAAAAAAAAATTATTTTGTTTGAAAGGCAGAGTGACAGAAAGATTTTCTATCTGCTGGTTCACTCCTTTGATGGAATGGCTGCAACAGCCAAGGCAGGGCCAAGAGCCAGGAACTCCATCCAGGTCATCCACATAGGTGGCAGGGACCCAAGTATTTGAACCATCTTCTGCCGATTTCCTAGGCACATTAGTAGGGAGCTGGATTAGAAGTGGAGAAGCTGGGACTTGAACTGGCGCTCTTCTGGTACCAGCATTGCAGGTGGCAGCTTAACCTACTGCATCACAGTGCTAACCCCAGCAATTATGTATTTTTATAACTCTAGCTACATAACAGGTTTTGAAATTTAAAATTTTCTTTTACATGTTCTGAATAAATATAAAGCAGTGAGAACAAAACCATGGCAAAGAAACAAAGACTTTGTCCTGGGAACTTGTACCTGACTTCTCAGATCTTTAGATGAGGCTTTACTTGAGGATGAAATGTAATATTGAGGCCGGCACCGTGGCTCAATAGGCTAATCCTCCACCTAGCGGCGCCGGCATACCAGGTTCTAGTCCCAGTCAGGGCGCCGGATTCTGTCCCAGTTGGCCCTCTTCCAGGCCAGCTCTCTGCTGTGGCCAGGGAGTGCAGTGGAGGATGGCCCAAGTGCTTGGGCCCTGCACCCCATGGGAGACCAGGAGAAGCACCTGGCTCCTGCCATCGGATCAGCGCGGTGCGCCGGCCACAGCGCACTGGCCGCGGCGGCCATTGGAGGGTGAACCAACGGAAAAGGAAGACCTTTCTCTCTCTCTCTCACTCTCACTGTCCACTCTGCCTGTCAAAAAAAGAAAAAAAAAAAAAAAGAAATGTAATATTGAAATGCTTTATTATATTTTGGCCAAATGAGAAAAGTTCATGGAAAAATTTAATTAAAAGATATAAATTTTACTTTTCTTTTTTCTATAAAGATTTATTCATTTATTTGAAAGTCAGAGTTACACAGAGAGGAGAGGCAGAGAGAGGGAGGGGTCTTCCATCCGATGGTTCACTCCCCAGTTGGCTGTGCCGATCTGAAGCCAGGAGCCAGGAGCTTCTTCCGGGTCTCCCACACCGGTGCAGGGGCCCAAGGACTTGGGTCGTCTTCTACTGCTTTCTCAGACCACAGCAGAGAGCTGGATTGGAAGTGGAGCAGTTGTGTCTCGAACCAGCACTCATGGGATGCTGGTGCTTCAGGCCAAGGCGTTAACCTGCTGCGCCACAGCACCAGCCCCTAAATTTTACTTTTCAACATATACTGTGTCAACTATAGGACACCTTGGTAAGTGATGTTAGCCATGTAATCCTTCTCTAAACAACTAAGGGTCCTGGGAATTTAACCACTTCAGTGCAGTCTGAAGAAAACTGTGAATGTTCTTTGAAGATTTTTTTTTTAAATAAAAAACATGTCAGAAGGAGCCAAATCAGGACTGTAAGGTGGATGCCTGATGACTTGTCATTGAACTTGTAAATATTTGCCCTTGTTTGCTGAGAGGAATGAACAGGAGAAAGAGTCTGTAGTAAAACTTTCTTGGGTGTTTTTCTGCTTAAGCTTTGGCTGACTTGCTCAAAAACCCTCTCATAGTAATCAGATGTTGTCATTAGTTGGCCCTCCAGAAAGTCAAACAAAAAACAAAACACAGAAACACAGGCCTGGACATCTGAAATAACTATTGCCATGCCCTTTGCTCTTGACCAATCAGTCCACTTTTGCTTTGACTGAATCACTTCCAACTCTTGATAGACATGGCTTTGACATCAGGATCATTCTCATAAAGCTGCATTTCCAGTTCTTCAAGGAAATGTTTTGGGATCTTGATCCTGCTTGTTTAAAATTTCCATTGGTGGGTTTGCGTTGCGGCTTAAGGGTTGAGCCGCTGCCTATGTTGCCTGCATGCCATATGGGCTGCTATTTGAGTCCCAGCTGCTCCACTTCCAATCCAGCTCTCTGCTGATGCACCTGGGAAAGCAGTGGAGGATGGTTCAAGTGCTTGGGCCCCTGCACCCACGTGGGAGACAAAGAGGAGGCTCTTGTCCTGGCCCAACCCTGGTTGTTGTGACTGTTTAGGGAATGAACCAGTAGAAGCAAGATCTCTATCTCCCCTTCTGTGTCTGTAACTCTGCTTTTCAAATAAATCTTTTTTTTTTTTTTTTTTTGTTCCGACAGGCAGAGTGAACAGTGGGAGAGAGAGCCAGAGAGAAAGGTCTTCCTTCCTTTTCCGTTGGTTCACCCCCAAATGGCCGCTGCGGCTGGCGCACCACACTGATCAGGAGCCAGGTGCTTCTCCTGGTCTCCCATGTGGGTGCAGGGCCCAAGCACTTGGGCCATCCTCCACTGCACTCCCGGGCCACAGCAGAGAGCTGGACTAGAAGAGGAGCAACCGGGACAGTATCAGGCGCCCGACCGGGACTAGAACCCGGGGTGCCAGCTCCGCAGGCGGATGATTAGCCCATTGAGCCGCAACGCCGGCCTCAAATAAATCTTAAAAAAATTTTTTTTCCATTGAAAGCCTACTCTTGTTTGTAACTGATCTGGCTGCAACAGTTTTGCTACCTATTGAGTAGAATGTTGGTTCAGCTCTGAAGGTTTCAGTCAGAAGTGTGTAAGCTAACCTAAGTCAGATGTCTATGGTGTTGGCTATTGTTTCTGCTGGTAACAGTCCTCTCTGTGTAGGGCACAAAAGGATTTTTTTTTCCCCTCTCTCACAAATTAATGTGGGTGGGCTGCTACTGCAGGTTTCATCTTCCCTACTTAAAACAAGTTAGCAGATTAACTGCTGATTTCATTTTTTTTAGAACATTTAAGAAATTAAGATTTATTTGAAAGAGCCAGAGAGAGAGAGTGTGAGAGAGTTCTTTCATCTGCTGGTTCACACCCCAAATGTCCCCAGTGGCTAGAGCTGAGTCCATCTGAAGCCAGGAGCTTATTTCGGGTCTCCCACGTGGATGCAGGGTCCCAAGGACTAGAGCTCTCTGCTGCTTTCCCATGCACCTATGCAGGGAGCTGGATTGGAAGTGGAGCAGCCAGGACTCAAACCGGCACCCATTTGGGATGCTGGCACTGCAAATAGTGGCTTTACCTGCTACACCATAGCGCCGGCCCCTAAACTGTTGATTTCTTTGGGGCCTATTTACATGAACTTTGCATAAAGCATCAGTGATTTCTCCAGTCTTATACCCAAGCTTCTTTTTAAATTTGTTTCATTTTGCTTTAGTTTTGACACAGTTCATGAATGTTCTGATAGTAACTCTTCCAAACTGATGTCTTGTCCTTCTTGTGACTTAAACTAGATCCTCTTGTCAGCCATTAACAAATCAGTACGAGTTTCTTTTAGTATAAAACAATTTGAAATCCAAACAGTTTTTTCATAGTAAGTATTTTCATGAAATTTTGCATGCTCTTGTATATTATAAATAGTGTTTTAGAATAAATAATGATTAAATGCTTAAAGATGCTTTTGGAGTGACTTTACTCATGATTTCACGATGAATGCAGTTCACTGCTTGATTTTCGAGTGTTTAAGCCTTAAACATTTTAGAATTTGGCAGATACTTCTTATCAGAAGTACTTTCTTATTTCCTTGTATTTGTTACTGAAATTATCTTTTTTCCTCCTCAGTTCAAAGCAGTATTCAACGATTTCAAGAGAAGTTTTTTATTTTTGCTTTGACACCTCAACAAGTTAGAGAGATATGCATATCCAGGTAAGAGGAATGTTGGGAATGTATTTCTTCTTGAATATCACAGCTTTAGTCTTCTGGTGCTGCCAGAACAAAATCTCGACTGGCTGGCTTCAACACGGAAACTGTTTCTCAGAATTCTGGAGGCGCTGGTCCAAAATCAAGTTGTTGGCAGATTTGGTTTCTTCTCAGGTCTTTGTTTCTTTCTTCGCATGGCTTTTCCTTTGTCTCAGTGCATCCCTGGTGTCTTTTCCTCTTCTTGGAAGGACATCACTCATGTTGGATTAGGAACCCATCCTTCTGGGCTTCATTTAACCTTCATTGACTCTTTCAAGGTGCTATTTCCAAACATAGTCACTTTGGGAGTTAGGGCTTCAGCATACAAATGTTGAAGTCAGTGTATGTTCAGTCCCTAACAGACTGTTTCTCCTTGAGTAAGAGAAATCCGTTTTGATTAAGGTTAGGCAAATATTTATGTATTAGGACAAAAAAATTTTTTAAAGATTTTATTTATTTATTTGAAAAGTAGAGTCACTGACAGTGAGAGGTAGAGACAGAGAAGTCTTCCATTCGCTGGTTCACTCCCCAAATGAAAAAAAAAATTTTTTTAAAGAATTATTTATTTGCAGGGCAGAATTAGAGAGAGACGGAGTAAGGTCTTCCGTCCACTGGTTTACTCCCTAAATGGCTACAATGGCCAGAGCGGGGCTGATCTAAGCCAGAAGCCTCTTCTGGATGTCCCGTGTGGGTACAGGGGCCCAAGCACTTGGGCCGTCCTCTGCTGCTTTTGCAGGCCATTAGCAGGGAGCTGGATTGGAAGTGGAGCAGCTGGGACTTGAACCACCTCCCATATGTGATGCTTGTGCCACAGATAGTGGCTTTACCCCCTATGCTACAGCACTGCCTCTATTAGAAAAACATGTAACTTTTGCATAAAACCTCAATCTTTTAAGTTACTGTTTGTCGTATTTGGAAATAATTTTTAAATTGTTTTTATTTTTTTTGAAAGGCAGAAAGAGATCTTCCATCCACTGGTTCGCTCCCTGAATGCCTGCAGTAGCTGGGGCTGAGCCACGTCTAAGATGGGAGTCAAAAACTCAGTCATGGTCACCCCTGTGGCTGTGCGGGACCCAAGTACTTGAGCCATCACCTGATGTCTCCCAGTGTACACATTAATGGGAATTTGGAATCAGAAGTGGGACTGGGCCTCTAACTCGGGCATTCCAATGTGGGATGTAAGTGTCCCAAGCAGCATCTAAACTCTTGTGTCAGCCACCTGCTGCTGGAAATAAGTTTTTAAATGAAAACTTTATTTCAAATATAGCAGATAAAAAGGAATTTGTGATAACCACCCGAAGATGGGGTGGCCATAACTTTATCATTTTAACCTGAGACATTTTTGAAAGTGTAACATTGAAGTAGTTACATTTGTAAATGGCAGATGAACTAAGAGACGTAAGAGCAAAGAAAAGGAAATCTGTAATGTATACTTCATTATTTAAAATATAGCTGTTGGTTGAATAATTGATTGGGTATACCCCAAAGGCCCGTCTGTTGAAGGCTTGGTCCCCGGAGTCGTATGTTACTGGATTAAGGATTGGTATTTGATACAGGTAAGGGTCTAGGAAGTAGGCCCAGTGGGAGGTCTTTAGGTTGTTGTGGACTTCTCTGAGAACTTGGTTCCTGTGAGACCAAGTGGGGCCCAGCTGTGCCCTCAGCTTCCTGGCTCACTATGTTATTCTTTTCCACACGTGGGCCACCACCATTGCCAGCCTCTATCCTTGAAGATGGAGGATTGATGAGGCTGCCCAGTCTTGGACTATGGACTCCAAAAGCAATCTGAAGTAAACCTCTCTCCTTCATAAGTGAACTCCATCAGACATTTTGGTTGTAGTAATGAGAAGCTGACTAAAAGTCGTCGTTGGTGTTAATGTTATTTATGTGACTCTTTAAAATTGCATTCTTACAAGATTGTGCTTAAGAAAGCTGAGATTCTTGGAGATGTAATGATTTTTTGGGACTGAGAGTTAAAATCAGAGTGAGGAGTTCAGCAAATGAGCGCTCTTTTCCTCCTTTCATCTATTCATTGGAACACTAGAGATGTTAGAGATTTTCAGAAATAAGGGCACTGTAACTTTGGGAAATTCTGTATTGAACAGTTATGTAAGTTATTTGTAACAGGACTTTTCAGAATCTGTTAATGTCCATATGTGTGGTGGGGCTCCCAAGGTGGTTGATCCAGGTTTATGGAACTTTTTAAACACCTAACATATTGAAGATACAATGTTACTATATGGAATACAGCTTAGATTCTTTTTTTTTTTTTCTTTTAAAGATTTATTTTCTGAAAGGCAGGACAGAGAGAGGCAGAACTATTCCCCTCAATGGTCCACTCCCCAAATGGCCACGGAGGTCAGGGCTGGGCCAGGAGCTCCTCCCAGGTCTCCCACATGGGTGCAGGGCCCCAGCACCCAGCCGTCTTCCACTGCTCTCCCAGGTGCAGGGAGCCGGGCTGGAGCGGCCGGGACTGGGCCCAGCGCTCTGCCAGGGACCTGGGGTCCGGCCTCACGTGTGGCGACCCAGGGGGCTTTCTTCAGTAAATGTTGTTTCTGGTTTCTTGATTAAACTTGTAAACCTAAAAATTTTTTTCTTCCCAAAACTAAGATTCCTGAGCCATGAGCCCAAGACTGGAATTGTGTTTTTCCATTTGATTCTCCTGAAAGAGCTTTTACTTTAATGCCAGGACCAACAGCTGAGGGGCGGGGGCACACTGGCAGCTGCCCACCCCGTGTGCCTGGGAGGGGACCGAGGGTCCGGGCCCACCCCATGCCCAGGTATCAAGGGGCCCCTCCCTGGGAGAAAGCTACAGATGGAAGCAGAAAAATAAACCCCCGCCCCTTCAGCCAGAGGTGGCCCCACTCTAGGGCCGGAGCTGGGGTGCCGCGGGGCCGCCGTCACTTCCCCGTGAGTTCCAGCACCTTCTTCACCATGAGGCCGATGCCGTCGTGGATGTGGTGCAGTGCGGCCTCACCCCTGAAGGCTGGGGTGGTGACCACCTTGTTCTTCCCATCCACATGAGCTTTGTGTGCAGAGTCAGGGAAAACACCGCAGGAGCCCAGCTCCCACACAGACGCAGGCCCCTCGGACCCCACTCCCCTCCTGCCCCGGCCTGAGCCAGACTGAGCCCAGCTCCCACACAGGTGCAGGTCCCTTGGCCTCCCACTCCACTCCTGTCCTGGTCCAAGCCAGACAGAGCCCAGCTCCCACACAGGCACAGGTGCAGGTCCCTCGGGCCCCCACCCACTCCCCTCCTGCCCCGGCCCAAGCCAGACCGAGCCCATAGAGCTTAGATTCTTTGGCTAATCACATTTTGTTAAAATTATTTATCAGCAAAAATCTGAACATTATTTTATAATCAGACTCTCTGACGTTTGAGGTTCCAAAGAGTGGTGCACATGTAAATAGAATGGCTTCTGGCAATCTTATGGATAATAATAAAATGACAAATAAAACCAATTAGATGTTATATTTTATATCCCTAAACCATGTCATGAGTTTTTACTTTTTGTTATTCTTTGATCCGTTGCTTGGGATCAGCATTTACTAGGTGTTCATGAGGTACAAGGCACTGTGTTCCGTGACATCCTTTTCTACAGCTTGTTTGCATTGCAGTCTTGCTAGTGAATCAGCTCATGTACATAAAATGTTTGTTGGATTGCACAGTATCTTAGAGCCAGTTGAGTAATGACAAATAAGAGCTGATTTATAGGAGGGAGGGGTCACTATAAAGCCTTAGAGATATGGGAAAGCCTCATTGCAGGATTATGTAGGCTTTTGAAGTAAGTAGGTGTAAAGATAAATATTTCAAGTTATCTGTTTAAGTGAACCAAGCAAGGGACAGAATTGTGAATAGTGTGCTGCCAGTTGTCTTTAAAAGATTGTATGTGTAGAATTGGCTTAACATGCCTAAATAAACACATATTTATATGAAATATAAAGAGTAGCCGCTGGTGCAGAGGGGACATGGGCGGCTGGGGACAGAATTAAGGGAAATCTTCACTTTATATCCTTTCTTATATCTTCTAAAATTCAGACCATCTTTGTGAAGTTCAAATAGATCTAGTGAATGTATTAGTTGGTCAAAAAATAAGTGGCCAAAACTTAATTATTTTCATTGAAAAATTTTAATTGTGTTCCAGAGATAGATGTTGTGATAGTTGCACAACAGTATGAATGTCCTTGATGCCACAGAACTGTACACTTAAAAATGGTTGTAATGGGGCTGGTGCTGTGGCATGTGGTAAAGCCGCCGCCTGCAGTGCCGGCATCCCATATCGGCGCCGGTTCGAGTCCCGGCTGCTTCACTTCCAATCCAGCTCTCTGCTGTGGCCTGGGAAAGCAGTAGAAGATGGCCCAAGCCTATGGGCCCCTGCACCCACGTGTGCTTTTGGGATGCCCCTCCCTACCATGTCTGTTGCACATGCCTCTCCTTTCTGCTACTCCAGATGCTCCAGGCTGATCTTGTATCCCTTCTTTCCCAACCCTGGAACTGAACACTTACCTCAGGAACCCTGGTTCCTGTCATTAAGACTTTTATTTTATGACACTTTGTACTTAGAAAAATAAAAGTGATTCATTTGACTCTAGCATGTAATACATTCTGGATTTGGATAATTTTTGTGATATCTTTCAGCAGCTTCTGTCCTTGTGGTTCTTAAACTTTTGCTCTTGTTTTTCACTGGAGAGCTTTTAAAAATTTACTCGGGTTTCATCCTGTATCAATTAAATTAGAATCTCTGAGGATGGAATCCAAATAACAATGATTTTTAAAGCTCCTTGTGTGTTTTTCCAGTGTACAGCAAATTTAAGAAGCACTGCTATGTATCTAGGCCGGCGCCGCGGCTCACTAGGCTAATCCTCCACCTTGCGGCGCCGGCACACCGGGTTCTAGTCCCGGTCGGGGTGCGGGATTCTGTCCCGGTTGCCCCCCTTCCAGGCCAGCTCTCTGCTGTGGCCAGGGAGTGCAGTGGAGGATGGCCCAGGTGCTTGGGCCCTGCACCCCATGGGAGACCAGGAAAAGCACCTGGCTCCTGGCTCCTGCCATCGGATCAGCGCGGTGCACCGGCCGCAGCGCGCCGGCCACGGCGGCCATTGGAGGGTGAACCAACGGCAAAGGAAGACCTTTCTCTCTGTCTCTCTCTCTCACTGTCCACTCTGCCTGTCAAAAAAAAAAAAAAAAAAAAGAAGCACTGCTATGTATCTGGCCTCCCTTTTGCCTTCAGTGGTAGTGAGGGCTTAGCTAGAGGCTTCAGTACATGCAAGTTTAAGAAAAGATTTGTTTATTTGAAAGGCAGAGTCACAGAGAGGCAAACAAAGAGAAAAGTTTTCCATCTGCCAGTTCACTCCCCAAGTGGTCACAGCAGCCGGACTTGAGCCATTCAGAAACAAGGAGCCTGGAGCTTCTTCCAGGTCTCCCACGAGGGTTCAGGGGCCCAAGAACTTGGGCCAGCCTTCACTAGTTTTCCAGGCACATTAGCAGGAAGCTGGATCGGAAGTGGAGCAGCCGGGACTTGAACCGGCACCCATATAGGATGCTGACACTGCACTGACACCACAGTGGCAGACCAAGTTCAGAGTTTTTATTTTTGTTCTTAAAGATTGATAAGTAGGTTCAGCTCTGTTCTTGGCTTTAGCACTCTGCTTCTCCTTGGTACTGTGTTTCTAAAAATGCCCTCTTAGTCCTTCACGCTGATTTTTCTTACACATTCTCAGGAATGAATCTGATTCTCACTGCTCTGTGATGGGATTCATGAATATGTTTTGTTATTTTTACATTGGTGGCTGCAGAATCACCAACATCTTGTCTGTGATGAAAGGCCTTTCCCATTGCCTCTGCTTTGGTGACTTACAGGTACATGAAGCATAGCATGTGTTGAACTTGGCTTCCTCCCTAACCTGCTTATTTGTTTTTTGTTCTTTATTCACTCATTCATTTAGCACATAGTTTCTGGTGTCTGCTGTGGTCCAGACAGTATTTCAGGCACTAAGTGTGCGAAGTTGAAAAATAAACTATCCTCAAGGAGATTTTTGTGGTCTGTTTCTTCCTCAGATACCCTTTCCAATATTGGCATTGGAGTCTGCCTGGACAGAGAGGCTTCCTTGTATTACCCCGGTTTTCACTAACCACTTCCCATTATTTTGCTACACGTTGTTGATTCTTTGTCGCTTTTGAAATTCAGGATTTGATCATGCAGCTGAACCTTCAAGGAAACTAGCATGGTCTTCTGAGTATTACCAAGTAGAAAGTAAATTCTGGCTCAGTCACTGAGATCTGCATGCCCTGGGCGAGTGACTTAGCCCTGTTGAAACTGAAGTACCTAGTATGTGAAGCTGGAATAGCAGTCATCACCCCGTGGGGGGTGAGATTAACGCCACAAGCTGCTCCTCCCCTCCTTACTCGTGAGCAGCATCACTGTTCCCAGCTGTACCATTTGGAAGCCTGGGCATGGTCCTAGAAGCTCCCCTTCTCTTCTCCTGCCTTCTTGTATCTAGTCAGTCCCTGAGTCCTGCCAGGCTTTCTTCCTAAGTACCACTCATTGATGGTCATGTCTAAATAGCTTCCAAGCCCTCATGTCTTGCCTTTGCGATTGTGATGGTTTCTTAACTCTGCATCTCTGAGCGGACCATGTGATCATTGCAAAATTCATTCTCCTTTGAGTTTAGAAACCCTGTGGTGGTGCTTCATGAAGCCCATACTTGTTTGGCAGCCCTCTTCAGTGTCTTGCTCTGCCCATCCACAGCGTCGTCCTTTCTTTAAAAATCAAAATTTCTGGTTACTCTTCTCTGGCAACCAACAGACCTGCTAGGCTTTCCTGTTTGCCTTTCCTTAGTTACCATCTGCTTCCCATCACAGTACCTTTGCATATCCTCTTTCTCCTTACTGTGCCTGGCAACCTCTGAGTCATGTTTCAAGGTTTAGTTTAACAGTTAACTTCTCTCTGATGCCTTTCCAGATTTTTCCAAACACATTCTTTGTGTCTCACTGTGCTGTGCACTTATTTCCTATTAAAGTATCACTGTATTTATTTGACTAATTATGTTTGTAAACTTCTTGATGATAGCGATCTTTATTCTTTATATAGTCTCAAATCCTAAGGAAATAATTATAGCAACCAGCTGCTCAACCTTATGAGCATGTCTTACACTTAGGTACCTTACATGTATTATTAACATGTTTAATTGTCACAACAGCTCAGTGAGGTAGATGGAGTAATTTTCCATCTTTAACAGTTGTAGAAATCAAATCAAAGAAAGGTTAAGTGACTGTCCAAGGTTGTGATGCTAAAGCTGGTTATTACTGAGCTTTACTGCCTGCCAGTGAACAGAGGATTGGAAACAAACTGGTCTAGTTAGAGCCAGATGAGTATATTAGCCAGCTTTTTGGTACTATGATATAATACCTAGGGAGCTGCTTAGGAGGGGATGAGGTTAATTTTGGCTCATGATTTTGGAGTTGCAGTTGAAGATCAGCAGGATCTTTGGGTTCTGACTCTGGTGAAGCCTTTCCTACTGACAGAATCAATCCTGAGGTGACGTAGCTCGGCACACAGCGAGACAGCTATCTGTCTCCCCTTATAAAGTCTCTGATTTCAGCATGAGCTCTGCCCTAAACGTAATCCAATCTAAACACTTTCTAAAGGCCTCATAACTGGATCAAAATTGGATTAAGTTTCTGCCCTTTTAGCATTAACATAAATATTTGGTGACCAAGCCTTTAATATTGGGGTCTTTTGGGGAAAGTCAATATTCAAACTAAGGTCCAAACCATGAGCAGTGAGGCTTACGTGTACTTCTCTAGATTTCTCAAAAAAGGACCACCCTAATGATGCCCTCTGACAGAGTTCAAGATTTAGGATGGGGGCTGGCACTGTGGCATAGTGCATAAAGCCACCACCTGCAGTGCCAGCATCCCATAGGGGTACTGTTTTGAGTCTGGGCTGCTCTACTTCCAATCCAGCTCTCTGCTATGGCCTGGGAAAGCAGTAGAAGGTGGCCGAAGTCCTTGGGCCCCTGCAGCCTCTTGGGAGACCCAGAAGAAGTTCCTGGCTTCAGATCGGCACAGCTCTGGCTGTGTGGCCAATGGGGGAGTGAACCAGTGGATGGAAGACCTCTCTCTCTGTCTGCTGCTGCTTCTCTGTGTGTAACTCTGGCTTTCAAATAAATAAATAAATCCTTTAAAAAAAAAAGGACTTAGGATATTTTAGCTGTAATGTATGTCCTTGTAACCTGGGGGACTTGTTCAAATGTAGACTCTACTTCTTAGATCTGGGCTGGGGTCTGAGATTCTGCGTTTCTGATAAGCTGCTGAGAAGTACCAGTGCTGCTTCACTGTGGACTCCATTTTAAGTGGTCAAGATTTAGAAGGTTCAGTACTAAAGATATTTTATATGGGGCTCTTAGAATCTAATCTAGCAATGGAAAGAAGTTCTGTGTTTTTAATTGTGTACATAGTTGTGAAGTTGCCATGGTATAGAGATGCTGTACTGCTTCCTTTTTTCTGGTTCTATACTAGCATCACCTGAATAGCTGTAAAACTAATGCTAAGGCTGTACCCAAGACCTGTAAGACTATCTAGTGAATGCGTCTTCATAGATTTTTTAAATTTTCATGTGATTAGACTGTTGAACCAAGAGTAAAAACTACTAAGCAAATAGATTAATGAGTTAACACTTTGAGAACCTAGAGTGCTCTTTTTCTTGTTAAGCAACTTTATTGTCTGTTGCAGAAAAACTGCACCATCAGAGTACCTGTGAATGAATATATCCTAACATCTCTGTGAAGACATGGCTAAAAATTAAGGAAGTGGTGGGAGTTATCCTTCTAGTGTTTTGATTAAGGCTTTTGGTAGACCAGTATTCATCTTCTAAGGAATAAGAATAAAAACATTAATATCACTTTTTCTGATGAGAATGTTCTTGTTACTGTGCTTTCTTAATCCACTTAAAAGTTTTCTTTTTCCAACAGAGATTTTTTGCCGGGTGGCAGGAGAGATTATACAGTCCAAGTTCAGCTGAGGTGAGTTTGATATTTTCTACTACCTTAATTTCACACTGGCTCATTATGTACATGTACATAGTCCTGAATTTGAAAACACATAATCATGTTTGAATACACTGTTGAGGAATAATTTTCTTTCCTTCCTTTTTTTTTTTCTTTTAATGTAGACTTTGCCTGGCAGAGACTAGTTGTCCTCAAGAAGATAACTATCCCAATAGTCTGTGTATAAAAGTGAATGGGAAGCTGTTTCCTTTGCCTGTAAGTTGTACTTTGTTTACCTGGTTTTCATATAAGTTTAGTATAACACAGACAAGTCTAGAAACAGTGATAACTCAGTACTAATGAACAGTTATAACATCCAGATTAAATACTATTGTCCACTAGAGGGATCTGTGGCTCCTTGGAGAAATAATGGCTGATTCCAGGTCTTGGGAGGTGGAAAAGATGAACCTGGACCATCTGGTTTCAGAAATCAAGGAATCTGTGAAAGACTGTTGGAATCATATGAAACAGCACAGCAGGATGGGACTTGGGCACTTCATGTAGAGCAGCATGTTGTGATCGACATTTGGATGAGCTATGCTTGGCCCATGGATGACATGGTGAAAGTACAGGCAGCTGAGGGCCACTGGCCACAAAGATGAAGAATTCCAGGCTTAGGACCAGCGTTTTGGGGTTTAGGCTGCCATTGGTAATACCATGTATCCCATGTCAAGTGCCAATTCAAGTCTTAGCTGCTCTGCTTCTGTTCCAAATCCCTGGGAAGGCAGCAAAAGATGGCTCGTTTCCATGCAAGAGATCAGGATGCAGTTCCTGGCTCCTGGCTTTGGCCCAGCCCCAGCTGTTGGAGCCATTTAGGGAGTGATCCAAAAGATGGAAAATCTCTGTCACTCTACCTTTCAAATAAATAAATCTTAAAAATTCTAGGCTTGTACTTCGCTGATACACATTGTGGGAAGGTGCAGTGATATTTGATGCCCTGTTGTTTGAGGCAGTATACAAGCTTCAAAACTTCGGAGATGTGTGTGTGTGTGTAGTACATGCAGTGTCTGTCTTGCCTAATGGATACCTCTGGACTCTTCAATTCCTGTTTAGTCAGGTCTTACCATTTTATTTAAGTAGACTGTGTATTGGTTTCCAGTGAGAGCTAAGATCTGTTAACTATGTTGATACCATTCATAATCGAAACCATAGTAGAATATGGCCTGTTTGTCAAGTGGAGACATATTTCTGTAACTAAAACACTCTGAGAACAGTGAACCTACCAGTAAAGCAGGTTTCCCTTTCAGCATCACAGACACCATAGCAGCTACCACTGAGGAGATGTGGAAGCTACTCAGTGTTCCTGCTGAGCCTGAGCCTTGGCTCTGGAATACGTATGGGAGCAACAGCAACTCTGAGCGGTTGAGAGAACTGTGATCTCCACCAGAGCCAAATGCTTGTAATTAAACCCCAAAGTGAAGCTATCCATGGCCTATGCTGATCTTTATAGTCAAAGAGATCTGGCTTTTCTTAGTTGTCAGGAGTCTGATTTGTCTGTACACAAGCTGTGGATCTAGAGACCTGAGAGGCACTGTTTCATGAATTTTACAGGACTTGAGCACATTGCATCACTGGCTGACTCTTTGAAAGATGCCTGTAAGACTGAAACCAATTGAGACCTTCCTCTGGGGATTAAAGGGGAAATTGCAGAGTTTGAGTAGATGTGATAAGGGTGGGTTGCTTAGTTAGTCCCATACATGTTCAGAAAACTCCCGTGGGACATTTTGCCTCTCAAGTTCGTGACCACAAGCAACAAGATTCTCAAGAATTGTCTTTTGACTGGATGTGTTGTACAAAGATCTGAACCAAGAGAAGAAGCAACCCTACTTGGAGCTGAAGGATGCCCATGGGTAGCCGCATGTGTGGTAAAAGAAGCGTGGGAAAATTACAGATTTTAGAGTGACTCTGCATATTTTCTGTGGTTTTTCTTACCTATTTTTCATTGCCTAAGATGTGCTAAGATTTCTTTGGCTCTAATTGCTGTTTATCATTCTCACTGTCTTTGAAGAAAGAGGAATAGAGGCTTTCTTAATGTCTGTAGACACCTTAAGACCTCATCATGGGACTGGGCCACTGGTAGGGGCTGTGTCTACCCAAACTCTGGCATTTCTGCAGAAAATGTGGTTACATATGTGTGTGTACACACAAGTTCACAGAACTTCGAAATGGACTAGTCGGTGTCATGCTGTGGGATATCTCCACATGGGAGGTGTGCAGTATCACTGTTCATAGCTCTAAAATTTGTTACTCTTCCAGTCTTTGAGAGAGGAAGTTTGGCAACTGAGCACTTCCTCTGGAACATTGCTGCTCAGAAAGCACTATCTAACCTGGAGAATACTTACATGAGACCATTTGTGAACATACTGGCTACAACACAAAGTCTGATGACTCTGTTACTCGCCCCTGAAGCCGGAGACCTGCAGTGGTTCCAGGAGCAGTTGTGAAGAAGGGAAAAACATGGAGCATTGGGAGAAGGGCAAAGATACCTTTCAAAAACAAAAGACAATGGGTGGGACTTGACTGACCTGCTAGTGCTATCCCAAAGAATACAGAACAACTAGTGTAAAATTCAGAGGCGACCAATGGAAAATTCACCAAACTGCCTCTCGATCCACAGTTGCTGTTGATTGGGTAATGAAATGCAGTCTTCATTAGCATGAAGCAGGATTCTGAGATTTGTGAGAATCACAGGATGAGTGTGCTGCAGCCTCACACAAAGAATGCTACAGTTCTCCTGTCAGAGTTCAGTTGAGCTCTTGACTGCCACGGGAACCCCAGGGACTTTGTTGCAGAGCACCAGCAGGCCACAAAAAAGTTTGACATGTACTTGCCCATGATCCTGGGTTATTGAACAACACATCCTGGGAAGTTAAGCTTGCCACAGCCATGGAATTTTCCACAAAAGCTCTGAGTATTTGAATTTGTGTCCTGGAGCAAGTCCTCATGTGTGTGACCTTTTTGCAATATCCAGTTATTATGGACCCAGGACAGCTGGCCAACGTACTTGATGTTGAAAGTAAACTGAACAGGAACTGGTATTACTTTGACAATAGCAGCATGTCATCCCAGATACCTAAGGATCAAATAGTGATGGAAGCAGCTTAGCTGCTGCTTTACCCACATTGAAATGATGAGTTTCATAAAACACTTATGTGATAGTTTTCCAGGTTTCTCTGTTGCAAGGGAGACAGTAAGCCGGTCTTGGCAGGAATTTGCAGGATGGTGACATCCGGCAGGGACAGACACAGAGCTGCCACAGAGTCCTTCCATCTCTTACTCCATGTGGCTGCCAGTGTACACACTGATGAGAAAATTCCATGTGTCTTTGGAAAAAAGAAGGAAAAAAACAGCTATCTTTGCTTAGGGAGTTATTTTGAGAGGGTGAATTATTTTTCTATTTAAACAGACTAAAAAAATTGTAGAGCTGTAAGATTGAAGGGTGATTAAGAGGTGTTCTAAGTTTATGAATTTTCTGTTTCCCACTGCTGTGTTGCAGTCACAGCTATGGTTTGCCTTAAGTAAATCTGGCCTGAAGTAAACTTAGCATTTTTGCTTTTAAAATCCATGCAGCCGGCGCCGCGGCTCAATAGGCTAATCCTCCGCCTGTGGCGCCGGCACACCGGGTTCTAGTCCTGGTTGGGGCGCCGGATTCTGTCCCAGTTGCCCCTCTTCCAGGCCAGCTCTCTGCTGTGGCCCGGGAGTGCAGTGGAGGATGGCCCAAAGTAATACCAAGTGCTTGGACCCTGCACCCGCATGGGAGACCAGGAGAAACACCTGGCTCCTGGCTTTGGATCGGTGCAGCGCACCAGCCGCAGCGGCCATTGGAGGGTGAACCAATGGAAAAGGAAGACCTTTCTCTCTGTCTCTCTCTCTCTCTCACTGTCCACTCTGCCTGTCAAAAAAAAAAAAAAAAAAAAAAAAATCCATGCATACATCCCAATTTGAAAAGGCTGCCCCATGATGTAAGTTAGGGGTAATGTTGCAATCTAAAAGAATGACTGCAGTGGACTCAGAACTATCAAATACATAAAAGTTTTTATAATTCTATGAAAATAAACTAGGTGGAAGTTGCACTATCTCATTACTTTGAAAACTGATAAAGGCAAATAAAGCATCTGTTTCAAGGTAAACAGATTTTCTAAAATTTGTTTTATTTATTTGAAAGAGTTCCAGAAAGAAGTAGACACAGAGAGGTCTTCCATTCACTGATTCACTTCAAATGGCCACAATGGCCAGAGCTGACCCAATCCAGAACCAGGAGCTTCTTCTGGGTCTCCCATGTGGTTGTAGGAGCCCAAGGAATTGGGCCATCCTCAGCTACTTTGCCAGGCACATTAGCAGGGAATGCCACAGTGCTGGCCCCCCAAGGTAAACAGATTTTGATGTCATTAAGTTCTTTAAGGAAACATTTCAACTAATACAATAGAATTAGAAAATCTTGCAGTCTGGAATTGTGCAGTGACTCTAGGTAGCCATCAACAGCAGCACCATCATCAGGTTGCCATCCCTATAACCTGTTAGGCCAAAGCTTGATGGGAAGTTTACATGGAGAGATCCTCGTGGCATCACTGAAAATGGGACAGTTAAAATATGTGAGCAAAACCAATCAATAAAAATTAAAGGGGATCAGAGTTGTGACACAGCAGGCTAAGCTGTTGTGTTTGTGTGAGGATTGGTTCAAGTCCTGGCTATGCCACTTCCGATCCAGCTCCCTGCTAATGCACCTAGGAAAGCAGCAGAACGAAACCCAAGTAATTGGGCCTCTGCCACTCTGGTGGGAGACTAGGATGGAGTTCCTGTTTAGCCTATAACTCTGGGCTAGTCCCTGCTATTGTGGCCATCTGGGGAGTGAACCAGTGGATGGAAGATCTCTGTCTCTCCCCGCTTCATCATCACTTTTCCTATAGTTAATAAAATAAATCTTTAAAATTCATGAGTGGTAGAGCAACATAACTTTATACCATGAGAATGCAATCTAATCCAGAATATGAGAACATCCTTCAGGTCATAATTCCTGATTTCTCTTAACAACATTGGAAAAGAAGTGGATGTGGGGAGCAGGATATGTCTGTAGATTGAAAGAGACTTCGGAGACCTAACTAAATGCAAATAGGAGTTTGCATTCTGGTTCAGACTAAAAGGACATCATAAATACAAAACTGGAAGAAAATACAGATGCCTGGGATCTGGGACTTGCTTTAAAATAATTGGGATGGGTGTGGGGAGATAAAGTGGGTAAAGATAGTTCGTGGATAAATTATTGAGCTGAGTGGTAGGTATACAGAGGTTCATTATACTGGTTTCTCTATGTTTGGAATTATCAGTAATAAAAGTAAATGAAAAGACATCATTGAGGCAGTCAAAAAGAACAGGTTTTTTGTTTTTTTTTTTTTTTTTTGTAAGGTTCTAGTGCTGTTTTTCTTAATAGGTCTTACTTGAAATACATATTAAAGTATATGTAGGTCAAGTGGCATGTCTAGAGTTTGTATTTTAGGATGGTAAAAAGTGTGTTTGTGCTGTGTGTATGTTACATGGTAGGACTGGTGGGATCAGAGACAAAGGAAACAAAGTTTGTTAATATGTTGGGTGGTTATTGAAGCTATTCTGTCTACTTTTGTGTGTGTTTGAAAATTTCCATGTATAGGCAGGCGCCACAGCTCACTTGGCTAATCCTCTGCCTGCGGCGCCGGCACCCCAGGTTCAAGTCCCGGTTGCTCCTCTTCCAGTCCAGCTCTCTGCTGTGGCCCGGGAGTGCAGTAGAGGATGGCCCAAGTGCTTGGGCCCTGCACCCACATGGGAGACCAGGAGGAAGCACCTGGCTCCTGGCTTTGGATCATCGCAGCGCGCCGGTTGTAGCCGCCATTTGGTGGGGTGAACCAACGGAAGGAAGACCTTTCTCTCTGAATCTCACTGTCTAACTCTGCCTGTCAAAAAAAAAAAAAAAGAAAATTTCCATATATAAAGTACAGAGTCCATCTGTATTGGTAGTGTGAGGATACTTCACAAAGTTCATGGAAAAGTGGAATTAAAAGTTGTTTATTTTTGTGCATAATTTTTTTTATTTTATTTTTGACAGGCAGAGTGGACAGAGAGACAGAGAGAAAGGTCTTCCTTTTGCCGTTGGTTCACCCTCCAATGGCTGCCGTGGCCGGTGCACTGCGCCGATCCAAAGGCAGGAGCCACGTGCTTCTCCTGGTCTCCCATGGGGTGCAGGGCCCAAGGACTTGGGCCATCCTCCACTGCACTCCCTGGCCACAGCAGAGAGCTGGCCTGGAAGAGGGCAACCGGGACAGAATCCGGCACCCCGACCGGGACTAGAACCCTGTGTGCTGGTGCCACAAGGTGGAGGATTAGCCTATTGAGCCATGGCGCCGGCCAATGTGCATAATTTTTAATACATAATTTTAAATGAACTTTGGAAGATCTCTTATAGGTTTCAAGAGTTTTTCTGCACAATATCTGAAGTACCCTATATTAAGGAACTAGTGGTAATTTTAAAATTTAGGAGGAACTATAAAGGGACATCATTGCTGACTTTTGTCATAATTGTAAGGAAGGTAGGATGTTGTTACAGCATGTGTCATAAAACATTTCTTTTACCAAAGTGTTAGACTAACAAATTTTCTACTGGTGCTTTTTAGCAGTGCCTATTTAGAAAGATTTGTCCCTCCAGTCCCCTGTCAGATGAACTTGATTTTATTTTTCCATTAAAAATTGTTGTAAATCTGTGAAGGCTAAACATTTACATGCATATATTTTAAAATTTATTTGTTTATTTGAAAGACCAAGTTACAGAGAAAGATCTTCCATCCACTGATTCACTTCCAAAATGGCTGCAACAGCTGGGATTGAGCCAGGCCAAAGCCAGGAAGCCAGGAACTCCACCCACGTCTTCACGTGGGTAACAGGCACCGTTTTCCCAGGCACACTAGCAGGGAGCTGGATCAGGTGTAGAGCAGCCAGGACCCCAGCTGGTGCCCATATTGGAAGTCAGTGTTGCTGGTGACAGCTTAACCCACTGCACCACAGTTCTGGCCCTCAAACATGTATATTTTACAAAACTCCAACCACACCCTGTTCTTGATAACCAGGTCATTGATGATGGGGTGGTACTGCTGATGGTTGGGGGTAGGATACAGCTTAACAGATAAATCAGAATTACCATTGAACCACTCTAGTGGTTTAGAGAATAGATTGAAAATACTTCAGAAGATTAGGACTAATAACCACACGTGATTGTGAGGTTAACACTTTATTCTTACATTTGCTGTTAGCCTGCCTGCTCACATTGCTCACTTCTCCTCTGGCAAAAAAATGTCTTGTGACTCAAATTCCAGTATACAGAGTTCATGTTGACCTAGTTCATGAGTTATTTTTATCATCTTGGCAGACCTTGTGCCATTGTTCTTATTTGGTTGACCTATCAGAGATACCAGCAGACAGAATTCTCTTCCGAGCCAAAAATAGGCAAAATGAAAGTTTCAAACAAAGTTACCTAGGCGCTGGTGTTGATATTCCTTCTGCATGTTGCTCAGTAAATCAGTTCATAGAATGATTGTAGGAAGACTTGTTTTTCCTGTTGTATCTCACATGAACAGATTTAGTTGGCTAAAACCCTCCAGACAGACACAGACACAGACACATTATTCCAATTACTGTATTGAGATGTAAGTTAATGGGGATGTGTTTGAATGCTCACATCCCACGTCAGAGAGCCTGCGACTGAGTCCTGGCTGTACTCCTGATTCCAGCTTCCTGCTAATGCACACCCTGGGAGGCAACAGTGATGGCTCAAGTGTTTCATCATTGAGTTTCTGGGCTACTAACTTGGGCCTGGCCCAGCGCTGCCTATTCTGGGTATTCAAAGAGTGAACCAGCAATGGAGGCACTAACACTCTCTCTTCCCTTCATTCTCCTCCGCCTCTTCTTTATCTGCCTCTCAAATAGAGTTAGTTTTGTCTTAACTCCTAATGATTTTCGAAATTTTGTTAAAAGTTATATGACTTCCCACCTAATTACTATCTACTGCTTAAGAAACAATGGAGAGTATTCCCAAGTTGTAGATAGGCAGTTCCTTAGTCCTGCTGTATTAACACCACTGATGATGTATTTCATCATTGCTGAGGTACGTATTTCAATATCATTGAAATCCAATATCTGAAAATTGATGATGACCAGGTAATAGCTGTGATACATTTTCACTGTGTATACTTGTACAACTTAGATGGTATTCCCATGGCATAATGGTTAGCTACATCCCCTCTTTCAGCAGATAATTTAAGGACATTTTGAGGAAGGAGCCTGAATCCTGGCTGTTGTCTGGAAAACTTGCATTGATATTTCTCATATAATTTATCAGTATTAACACAGTTAAGGATGTCAGACTTACAGGGAAACCTGAGAGATACCAGTGGAATGAATATGGATTTAAGAAGCGTGTTTTATCTCTACACCTCTCCCTGCATATAGGAGAGTATCATGTTGGACAAACTTGCATTGATGACTAAATGAAAAGTGATTCAGCAGATACTTATTTGTTCTCAAAAGGAATAACTTAGTTCATTTTGCTTTTATTTCTTTGCTGTGTGTAGAGAAATAAGTAATGGATAGACTAAATTGTGTCACTAAAGTTTCTTCTTCTGAGCCTTTTTTTTTTTTTAATGTATTTGAAAGGCAGAGTTAGAGAGATAGGGAAACAGATCTTCCATCTGCCAGTTCCTTCCCCAAATGGCTGCGACAGTGGGAACTGGGCCAGGCCGAAGCTAAGATCCCAGAACTCCAAAGATAATTTCTTGCTCAGAAAATCTAGTGGGTAACAGTTTTGTCAAACGATTTTGGTAATTGCTTTGAAATTTAATAATTCCTTCCCTCTTTTAATTCCCAAAATTTTCTCTTACCCTTCCTCACCCTCAGTGTGCATGCTGCTTACAGTGGGGCCTCCTCAGATGAGTCATTAAGAAGGGTGACGTCGTCTCTAAAGCTTGGTTTCCTATTTTTAAGAGAGACTCAGAGCCAATGTGGCAGGATGCCACTATCTTTAGTTTAATGATGGAACATGGATTTTTTGTCTTCTAATTTTCTGAACTTAGGTGATTTCCAGGATGAAATAAAAATAACTGAAGAATCGCGGAAATTAAGGATGGTCTGTGTCTATTTTGGATAAAATGATTAATCACCTACAGAGAATTTAAACTGATTTTTCTTTCTTATGATTGTAGGGTATTGCACCACCACCTAAAAATGGAATTGAGCAGAAGCGCCCTGGACGGCCCTTGAATATTACGTCTTTAGTTAGGTTGTCCTCAGCTGTGCCAAACCAGATCTCCATCTCTTGGGCATCAGAGATTGGAAAGGTAAAAAAATCCTTTTCGAGTAGTAGGAGGGTAACTCCATTGGGAGTTGGTTTTATTTTTTTTTCTCCTTAGCCTAGTTCACTCAGCTTTTCACGTGTAAACTCTAAAAAACACTAATATTCAATTTGTGGTAACTGTGGAGATTCTTAAGGTTAGAACCTTTAATTCTGAGATTACCCAAATACTATCTTTGAATTTTCCTGGTAGTAGTTTGATCATTGTGTTTGTGTGTGTGTGTGTGTGTGTGTGTGTGTGTGTGATTTGGAATACTCTGGTCCAGCCTCTACATAGATAGCATATGTCAGATAACGTGGGCATCTTGCTAAAAAAAAAAAAAAAAAAACTTAATTAGATTATTTCCTTTACACATTCAGGTTGATGAACTTGGCTTTCTGCTGGTTCTTAGCTTCCAAATGAATTTTGTATCAATTATGGGATGTTAATTATTCAGGGAATTTTACATTTTAGAATTGTTTATTTAATGAAATAGTGGGGAAAGAGATTTCAGTTAATTTCTGAACATCAACGTTAATGTTCCTATTTCATGGAAATTCAGGGACAATATTCATGTTTTGTATGTGGAGAAATTGAAGTATATGTACATAGCAACACTGGATAAGTAACAGATTTTTAACTAAATGCTTGTAGGTACTGGAGATAAAAATTCTGCCACATAATTGAATTAATAGTCATTTCTTGTAATTAAAGTAATTGACTCAAAATTTGTACAAAAATTGGATGTTTAGATATTTGAAGACTGTTAAAAGTAGTATTTAGGCAATTTGATTTGGCAGCAATTAAAGTATTCTGTTTATTATAGAATCATTTGTATGGAAAAGCATACATATAGTGAAATGGTAAGAGATTATTTTTTTCCCCAGCATTTAGATTAAAATTATATTTGATCTCGCCATAACTCAATAGCTAACAAAGGTTGATTTGTGCCAGATCTAAGAGGTATGGGATTGGATGCTGATGTTTTTTGGCCTTGCCTATTTTATTATTTCTTCACGTGCCTTAGAGTGGCTGCCCCTTCCCCATTAAAATGGCTGTTTGGGAACAGGAGTTAATTTGCCGAAGCTTTCTTCAGAGGAAAACTTAAACTGGATTTGTTTGGGTGATTTGCTCAAGGCCATGAAGCAGGTGGTTTTTTTCTACTAGAATTAAAACTTTAAAGTGTTAATTCAGACTACTGGACATTGAGTTTTTTCTGCAGTAAAACCTATTTTTAAATGAAATTATGAGATCTCCATTATATAAAATAGTTGAAAACAGAATGATTCTGGTTAGAAGTAGGCATGGAAGGGTACATTCTTCTTGGTGGCCCCTAAGGTAACCAGTTTTGCTCGGTTAGAAACATGGTTTGAAAACCACTGATCTAAGCAGGATTATCATACCAGTGGATACTTTAAAGTGATATGTGATTGCAAAATAGATTTAAAATGATTGAGCTTTTTATGTTTCCTGAAGTAATGGAGTTGATTTTGTACCCTTGCCAGACATTGACCCTATTGTGGAAGTTACTCTGATTTTTATTTTTAGAAACCAAAATTTCTTATATAAGTTTCTTATGTCAATAGAATATTAATTCTCATCTTTAATATAGGTTATCTTTCTTTGTAGAATTACTCCATGTCCGTATATCTTGTACGACAGCTCACTTCAGCCATGTTATTACAAAGATTAAAAATGAAAGGTATTAGAAACCCTGATCATTCCAGAGCACTAAGTAAGTAATGTTTGTAAGAGCATATGAGGCACTGAATTGGGGAAAAAAGAAATAACTAAAACCTCATCTACACACCAGTATTTATCATATTGGCATCTATTCATTAGCTTACAGGCTAACACTACCTGGTGAATAAAGTCACAGAAACGTTACTACATATGTAGTTTTCAGCTGTCAAAGACAGTGTAAGAATATTTTTGTCTTTTCTGTTTACAAACTTAACAATTAAAAGAGTAATGAATGTGTGTTAGGGAAGCAGTGACACTCCAGCTACTGCTGCGTCCTAGGTTCCTGTCTTCATTTTCTTCTTAGGTCCTAACCAGTTTCTGTTTTGAAACTCTTCCTTCCTACCAGTTGTACTGTTAAGGAGAAATTTTTAAAAATTAGTCGAACATACCATCTAGAGTTTATGTGTTCATAATTGTTTAACTTAATATTGGGAGTTTTAGGATTTGTTTCCAATACATTATGTAATGATTTCTATTTAGTTGGCCTATTAAGAGTGAGAAATTTTAAATTTTTAAAATAAGATACTGTATGTCTGTAATTCTGTTCATGCTTCAGTGTTAATTTAAAATTTTTGTTTTTCCCTTTTAAAAGTTAAAGAAAAACTTACTGCAGATCCTGATAGTGAAATTGCTACAACTAGCCTTCGGGTATCCTTGATGTGCCCTGTAAGTAAAGCAACACAACATTCTGGGGAATTATGCTATTTATAAATGATTAATTTTCTTGTAAAAGTAAGTTTGGGAATGAGCCATAACATTATGATAGAATTCTCAACTTTGTCTTTTTCCATTTTGGAGTTTAATGGTTCAGCATTATAATTTCTATTGTCCACAGATTGACTATGTAAGGAGAGACCCAAAAGGATATTTTTGTAGGAGTAAGATAACTTTAGGCTCAGAATAATATCATCATTAATGCAATAGGTAATGCATAGCTAGTAATAAACGTACATTAAGAGCTGACTCCTTTTATCAGTATAAATGGAATTGAAAGAGAATAAAGTGACTAGGGCCCAATAAACACTAATTTATTGCCTTGGCTTAATGAGTTAGGATGCATAGAATGTCTTTGTAATGCACATTTCAGTTACAGAGTAATTTGTATTTTATATCTCTTGGATGAAAAATCAGGCAGCAACTCTGAGACCCTCCCATGTACTTGGTATTGAGCTAATTATACGAAACAGTTCTGAAGTCTGGTGAAGAAGTCTAGAAAGTTAATCTAGTTTGAGAGAGACAACCAACTCACGAGGAAAAGCAGTAGATGCCCTTAGCACCTACGCAGAGATGGGAGAGATTAGGAGTAGTGGGTAGAGGCTTCTTTAAAAGGGAAACCTTGCCCCATGAGAAGAATGAGCAAAATCTGTGGAATGAGGAATTTTTAAATGGAGTTTTTGGGGTGTTCACTGAATGCCCATGGGCCATTATGAGAAATGCTTGTTTTTTTTGAGTGGATAAAAAATTGTGTCAGAAAGAAGAGAAAGGAATGATTTGTGTTTTCGCTGTGTGCTGCTTGTTTAACTGTCACAGCAAACCGATATGGAGGGGTGAGACTCGAGTGGTAGATGAGGAGAGGGAGACTGCAGGAAGTTGAATAACTTAGATCACAGCGTTAGTGGTAGAACAGGAATACAGATTTTACTCTTCTGATATTCCAGTTCTCTTTCCGAAAACCATGCTGCCCAATTGGGTTGAAATAGAAACGTCCTTACTGCAAGTGCACCACCTCTCTACTACCAAGAATTTTTTTTTAATGAAATGGGGTGTTTTTTTTTATTATGTTTTTTAATCATCAGTAACCTAAAAAAACACCTTGGCTTCATTGAAAGAATAGAATTTTGTGAAATTGAGAGTGCTTAGCAGCTGGGAACCCGGGAGAAGGCTTTCTCACAGCAGAGGAGGAGTGAGTGCCCTGGGGTGGATTTCCAGGCTGGGGGCCTGTGTTCAGCCCCCACCTCCTCTGTCCTCAAGCTCCACGCGGGTTTCAGGCACAAGCTCCTTGGGGGGCCCTCACATCACTTTTTTCTTCCTTCTTGTGTTAAGATTAAATTTGACTTTAATCGAAGCAAGTAAAATTGCCACTTTGGTGAAAAAGAGTTGAATCGTGACAGTTTTTATGATTTAACCCTAATATGTTCAGCAAATGCTAATTACCGACTGTATTCTAGTTGTAGTCACCGGGGAGGGGACGCAAGTCTTAGTATGCCACACCAGTCCATCAGGAAGAAAGTGCCACTGCAAGTGTACCTGAAGAGTTCTTCAGTTGCCCAGGGCCATTTTCTCTGTCTTAGTTCCTCGGAATCTGGTTTTCTTCCTTCTACATGGGAGCAACAAAAAACGCACAATGACCAAGCATAGAAAGGATTCTCGGGCCAGTGCTGTGGCGCAGTAGGTTAATCCTTCACCTGTGGTGCTGGCATCCCATTTGGGCACCAGTTCTAGTCCCGGTTGCTCCTCTTCCAAGCTAGCTCTCTGCTGTGGCCTGGGAAAGTAGTAAAGGATGGACCAAGTCCTTGGGCCCCTACACCTGCAAGGGGGATCAGGAAGAAGCACCTGGCTGCTGGCTTCAGATTGGCTCAGCTCCAGCCATTGTGGCCATCTGGGGAGTGAGCTAACGGAAGGAAGACCTCTCTCTCTGTCTCTCCCTCTTACTGTCTGTATCTCAACATGTCAAATAAATAAAATCTTAAAAAAAAAAAAAAAAAGGATTCTCAGATTTTCAATAATAGTGAAAACAGTGTGTTAGAGTGGTTAATATTCCCCCTCAAACAGGAGAGCTTAAAAAAAATCAACTTTTTAATTATGCTAAAAATTAAGAAGGGTGGTACCAGACAGCTTTTTGTTTGAAGTTCATTCAGTGTTTCTCAGCTTGTAGATGAGACAAGCAGGTCTATTCCTGAGACTTACCTTTTGTGCTTTTCCTCAGAGTTCTTCCTACCCAGTGTTTTCTGAGCACTAAGAACAGACCAGATAGTATTTCTTTCAGCTGTTTTGATCACATTTGGTGGATGGCACAAGTTGATGATAAAAGGTAGTTTGTGAGGAAGAGACAGTCCTAGTATCAGTTGGAAAAAGCAGAATGAAGTTCCTTTCAGCTAACTGGAAGTAATACAGGATCTGATGCAGTAACAGGAAATGAGAAAGGAAAGATGGGGCCCAGGCACTTGGAAAGATAAGAGGTGAACTCTCTGGGTTTATGTGGCAGAAGAGAGAGAAATGATAGCCTGGAGTACTGAAGTACTGCATGCTGTATCTTGCAATATGTTTGTAAGATGATTTACCATAAATGTCTGGGTAGTGGAACCTACAGAAAAGAATTTCACAGTGGTTATTGAAGAGGTACTTGATTGATCATGTGTAATTATATTTCTGAATGTGAATTTTATGTGGAAATCTACCTTGCTGACATTAGCTACTGATTTTCAGTCTGTCCTGCAGAGCTGGGCTAGGTAGCTGGGAAATAGAAAAGGAAAGCCAGGTTTGATTTTTACCTCCTGAGACCCCGATGTCTTTTTAAAAAAATCTGATAAAAATAATTTGAAACCACCATTATGGGCCATTTTAACTTACAACTCTTAGTAACTAGGTTTTTTTTGTTTGTTTTTGTTTTTTAGATTTATTTTATTTATTTGAAAGACAGAGTTACAGAGAGAGGTAGAGACAGAGAGGTCTTGCATCTGCTGGTTCACTCCCCAGATGGCTGCCCATGTGGATGCTGGCACTGCAGGCAACAGCTTTACCCGCCACGCCACAGCGCCGGCCTCAATAAGTGCCTTCTTAAGGAGTGCTCCTTAAGTCTTGTAAGATACTAGAGTTATATTTAGGCTCAACAACTTTTACACATTCCTGAGTGTTTTCACTTCTGTAAGTTGTGGAGATCTTAAGGGTCTGATAGGAGAGGTGAAAATGGCAAGGGGGAAGAAGGAAAAGAGAACAGTTGGCCCAGGGATATATAAGGGTCTCACCAATTCTTAGATGTCCACAAAGTTGAACTGTTTTTATAACAACACATAATTTCTTTTTTTTTTTTTAAGATTTATTTATTTATTTGGAAGAGTTACACAGGGAGAAGGAAAGGCAGAGAGAGAGAGAGAGAGAGAGAGAGAGGTCTTCCATCCACTGGTTCACTCCCCAATTTGCTGCATCGGCCACAGCTGTGCTGACCCGAAGCCAGGAGCCAGGAGTTGCTTCTGGGTTTCCCAAGCTGGTGCAGGGGTCCAAGGACCTGGGCCACCTTCTGCTTTCGCAGGCCATAGCAAAGAGCTGGATTGGAAGTGGAGCAGCCGGGACTCGAACCAGCACTCATATGGGATGCCGGCACTGCAGGCGGTGGCTATACCTGTCTATGCCACAGCGCCAGCCCCCTATAATTTTTTTTGTTGGGTTTTATTCTGTTCTGAGTGTATGCTCGGAAAGTGATGATGGCGTTGCTCTGATGGCTAATGTAGTGGGTGTTTGTATATTCTTGTCTTTTAAAAATATCCATTTTAATATGTTAAATTGATAAGTATAGCTCAGATACATTAAGGGTTTTTTTTTTTTTTTTTTTTAAAGATTCTAATTATTTATTTGAGAGGTAGAGTTACAGACACTGAGAGGGAGAGACAGACAGAAAGGTCTTCTTTCTGTTGGTTCACTTCCCAGATGGCCACAGTGACTGGAGCTGAAACAATTTGAAGCCAGGAGCCAGGTGCTTCTTCCTGGTCTCCCATGTAAGTGCAGGGGTCCAAGCACTTGCGCCAACTGCCCTTGCTTTCCCAGGCCATAGCAGAGAGCTGGATCAGAAGAGAAATAGCTGGGACTCCAACCCGTGTCGATATGGGATGCGGGCGCCGCAGGTGGAGAATTAATCTGCTGCACCACGGCGCCGGCCCCCAGATACATTAACTCTTTAAGGCATGCTCTCTTTCTTTGTTTTTTTTTGTTTTCAGTTTAAGAGGCAGAGAAAGAATGCTCCTATCTGCTGGTTCACTCCTTAAGTATATGCATAAGCCAGGGCTAGACCATGCTAAAGTCAAGACCCAGGAGCTCAATGCAGGTCCCATGTGGGTGGCAGAGACCCAGCTGGTCAAGTCATTACCAGCTGGCTCCCTGGGTCTGCTTTAGTAGGAAGTTGGAATTGGGAGCCAAAGTCAAGTATCAAGCCCATGTACTTACTTCAGCCTGGGATCCGAGTGTCATAATTGATGTCTTTGCTGCTGGGCCAAACGCCCATCCCTCAGGTTCTTGGTTTTTAAGAGGATGAAGGGCGGCCGGCATTGTGGTGTTACAGAAATCCGAGGTGGGAAGACTCCCTTTGATCAAACAAGCACCAGAGACAGTGGAGGATTGAAGTAGTTTATTACACCAGCAGGCTCAGCTGGAATCATTTCCTGAGAACTGAGCGATAATCCCAAGTTTCTCACAATATGTATAGGTTCATCAGCATCATACCTAGCTATTACAGCATTGGTGGGTTTAAATTGCAGCCTACGTGACTTAGGACCACACTTCCAATGGTCAGTGGGCCTGGTATGTTTGTAGAAGAGATACCAGGGGCAGATTTATTAGGACAGATTTATGACTGGAGTTTACAGAAGCAGAACTTGGGACTTTTTCCCTCCGTAGACAAGATAACGGCAGGCAGTGCTTCACTAGTTAATTGCGAGCAGCCACTTATCAAGGTC